ATAATCTGGCAGCTCTAGTTTGTTAGATGAGCTTATTCTAACATGTTGGACGAGTGTGAGTAAAGTTAGAACCATCACCGAGCAGACAAATTGAGTCGCCGTCTTTTGGACCGTGGCTCAACACCCTCTCTCTCTTTCAATCTTTCAATCAAGTATAAGTACTTCTTACTCAACTTTCTACCACATTTCCTCACATTCAACATATTTCCTGAGCTCGTGATTGCAATTGCCTCCCTTATCTTTCTTTTAACCACAGATTAACCATAATCAGCAAACCTACTAGTTTGAGACCATTCTATTTAATTTCCAGTTTCTACCATGTTTTCGGCCACTTCTGACCGCTGGCTCCAGCCTTCTTTGCAAGGATTTTTGGGTTCTCCCAATCTTTGTCGAATAGGTCGGTCACTAATCTAACATCGAACACATGAGCAAACAATCTTGTAGCAGCCAGATCTCGATAAAAGGTCATATTTCTCTCGAAAAGATGGCATAACAAAAGAGAGTGTAAGGGTCTATTTGAACAGTGTTTTTATGCCCACTTATTTACTAATTCGCCTATCCTTTTTGAGAGAAGGTATGAGGGCAAAATTAGGACACGGAAAAAGGTCTCAATATGTCTATCTTTGACTTAATGTTCTTCGTCTGAAAATGTATTCTTCAGTTGAGAGATATTATTCTCAAGAAGGCTTAAAGGATAATCATTTTCCAGGAGTTCATTTGTCAACCGTTTTAACTCTTTATTCAAATGTTTTTAATCCACTAGCCTCATACTTCTATGAATCATTGACTTCAAAATTCCTACCTTAGTCTTTTAAATATAGTCAGAAAGAAAATTAAGCAACGAGCACACAAACACACACATAAACACAGGCACACACTCGAGCAAATGTAACAGTCTAAGAAAAGTTAGGTTTCGAGGAATCTCTTGTTTCATAATTCTTGTTGAGCTTACTTACATTTTGGGTGAAAGCGTTGGGTGAAGAGATTCGAAGGTCGTTTCCACCAGAAGACGACGGCGGATTGTTCTGGTGGAAACAACCTTCGAATCTCTTCACCGAACACTTTCACTCGAAATCGAAGTAAGCTCGACAAATTTAACCGGACTGATATGAAAGATAATTAACCAAACCATTCTATATCTATCTATCTAGGTTTTTACTTTTCTTTTGACTTAATTGAGTCTATACATTAAGTAAGATAGAGCCGGATAGTGTTAGCGTGAGACTCTTACAAGAATTTGCACCCAGCTCTGAGGATGTCCATCTGAAGATGGACGTAAGCTCAGCCCGCTTTCACCCGAAACGAGGGAGGTAATCTCGTGGACTACACCAACATGTACATCAATGATGTTGGTCATATGACGGACGAAAACTTAGCACCTTTTCACCGGAATCGAATGAGAGGAATCCGATGTCGTCTTCTGGTCCAACCGACTTTGGAATCTCGTCACCCAACACTTTCACTCGAAATGGAAGTAAGCCAAACGGCAGCAGTACAACGAGATTCATCCGTCCTCTTCTGGTGAGATCGACCTACGAATCTGTTCTTCATACACTTTCATACGAAATGAAAGTCGCTCCAACAATGTGTTACTGAGGCGATTCATCGAAATCCAGTTTCTCTTCGTATCTAAAGCAGAGGACTTCGGCCAAGTGGCGTCCAAACAAGTCAACCTGCCAGCTCGACCAGGCTACGAGAACCGGATCAGCCCATTGCTTCATCGTGGACAGATCATCCGTTGGAGTCATTTGCGATGCTCTCGACTGGTCAGTCCATACTGCCGCCCGACTACTAGTACGTGTGCTCACAGCTCGGCCGGCTGCATCTTCTGTGCCTAAGTGGATTCCGGTAGAGGGTGGCGTCTCGTCTGCCCGACAGTCGGCGCATTTTTGTCTGAAACGCCATGCATGAGTACTTAATCCCCCTGGTTTGCCTGGCCTGATGGTAGGCACGATAGAGGTGGTCGCAGGTGATTTGGCCGCGAGACATGTTTATCTAATCGACGAGACAAAAAGCTACAGTCACAGCTAAAACTACCAAAGGCAAGGTCGGAGGTACCGTCTTGTGAGTTGTACCGGCCTCGAACAGCCTGACGACAGGTTAAGGGGCTTCGCTCTGCGTCAACGGTCCTCTCTTCTGCCCTCGACCGTCCAGTCAAAAAGCCGCCCTTTCACCAATTCGCCCAGTCCCATATTTTCCCACTCATTTATTCAGCCAAGCATACACTCATATACAACTGCACATCTACACACCAACAAGCAAACACACACATGCACACAAACATACCCCTCACGTAAACACGCATGTACATCCACACGTAAACACGCTGACACACAATCACATTCACACACCCACTTATCCATACTCGTATACATACTGCACACTCACGCAAGTGTGCGCACGCACACAGTAGACAACATGAAGTATATGAACTCACGTGGGCGCACCCAAGAGGGCAAGAGGCCAGAGACAGACGCACAGGAAGCAGCAGAAGCACCCGTACACGTTGTCCAGCCGCGATCACATCAGCCCTGTGGGCCTCATGTGGACGTCATGTGGGCAGCCGGAATCGTCCGGGCTCGACTTGAGCCATTAGGCCATGAGGCCTTGGGCTTGGTTTGGTCCGGTCGGACCTGGTCGTGGTAGTAAATGGGCCCGAAATCTCGCTCTGTCCCCGCTTTGAGAATGCATGAAAGGACTGGCGATTTGGAAGCAAAGATGTCCTTGTGTCCGATTTGGTCGGCCCCAACTACGAGGGCCTGTATCCGCCCCGCCTTGTGACTCACTTACAGTGATTCGTAGGAAATGCGCAAAAATGTCAGACAGTCGCGAAGGCACTTATGCGCTCATAACTGCCTCTATTGTTCGTATGGCAACTGAGATTCGCTCATTCATTGCTATGGCTACCTTAATTACAAGGTCATTTCGGTACCAGCACCGGCACCGGCACTGGTATCGACATCAAATTCAGCATCGGCACCAGCACAAGCGCCATTAGGGCTGACGCGTTAATACCGAGACTAACAACCGACACTACTTTTCTTTTTAACGTTGACAAAAGTGCAAACCGATTCACTAAACATCTCCAAATTAAAGACCTTTTAATGAAGATAGGAATTATACATATATATACATACACATATACATACACACATATATACATACAAATATATACATACACACATATATATATATATATATATGTTTGTTTGTTTGTTTGTTTGTTTTTTGTTTGTTTGTTTATTTGTTTGTATGAATGTATGTATGAATGAATGAATGAATGAATGAATGAATGAATGAATGAATGAATGAATGAATGAATGAAT